AAATGATGGGATATTATTCTTTTTATGACTAAGTAGTATTCCACTGTGTATATAAACCACATTTTCTTTATTTATTCATCTGTTGATGAACACCTAGTTTGATTCTATATCTCGGCTTAATGCTGCAATAAACATGGGGGTGCATATCTCTTTGGTTTGCTAATTTCATTTCCCTTGTATAAATACCCAGCAGTGGGATTACTGGATCATATGGCAATTATTTACTGTTTTTTTCTTTTTTTAACTTTTAATTTGTCAATATAAAACATAGTTGATTTTCATGCCCCTTTACCAATTCCTGTTCCCTTCCAACTCCCCCCCCCCAATCAACATCATATCTGTTCTCTTGTCTTAATGAGTTCAAGAAATTGTGGTGATTGTTGTGTCTTCTTCTCTGCACCACCCCCCACACACATTGGTTTGCATATTTATTTATTTATTTACTTATAGCTCCCACAAATAAGTGAGAACATGTGGTATTTCTCTTTCTCTGCCTGATTTATTTCACTTAACATAATTTTTTTCTAAGTCCATCCATGTTGTTGTGAATGGCAGTATTTTATTCTTTTTTTAAAAACATTTTAAACATTTTTATTGATATGTAACAGACAAATATTAAGTGCAAAAAGTGCACACATCTCAAGAAGAGTTGAATAAATGTTTAAATATGTATACACCCATGGAACTACCATCGGAATAGTATATAGAACATTTTCATATCCCGGAAGACTCCCTCATGCCCCTTCCCAGTTGATATTTGCTTTCCCAAAGCAACCCCTATTCTGACATAAACTATCATTGCTTAATTTTGCCTGTTTTGGGGCTTTATATAAATGTAATTGTGCAGAATGTGCTTTTGTATGGCTCTTGTTCAGACAAGATTATATTCAGACAAAACATTATGTCATATTGTGCATGTAATGGCAGTTCATTCCTTTTGGATTGCTCTGTAGTATTCTATTCTATGGCTTTACCTCAATTTATTTCTTATTTCTACTACTCTACTGTTGAGGGATATCTGGATTATTGCCAGTTTGGAGTTATGAATAAAGCTGCCGTAGCAGCTTCTAAGAATTCTTCCACATGTTTTCTGGCAAACACCCAGGCTCACTTCAGTGAGAGGTACAGAAGAGCATACTCGCATAATAGGATTTGACTTAATCTGGAGAAGCTGGGAAATTATTGTATTGTGATGCTTTTTGGGTGACGATGTTTTCTGAAACTCAAACCTGGAAGCCAGGAGTGCATCTCTTGTATCTGTGACATAAGTGGGGACCCTTCCTGCCTTTTCTCTGTGTTCTGAAAGCTTTAAGGTTAAGGATGTTCTGGCAATGGCTGTCATTTGTATTCTGGTCCCTTTATAAATGAGTAAGATAAATCCCTGGCTTATTTATTTATTTATTTATTTATTTATTTATTTTGTCTTTTTTCCGTGTCCGGCAATGGATCGCAACCCTCAGTGTAAATGAGTAAGATAAATCCCTGGCTACACTCATAATTAGGACAACTAGTATTCTGTAGGGAATATTTGTTATTCTTTTTGGCTGTCAGCATCCAAATCCCTTTGAATATTTGGGGAATTCCCCGCTGATGAATCTGGATGGGAGGCGAGCCTTCCTACTGAAGATAATAGGCCTTGTTTCCCCAGCTTCCCTTGCAACCAGATCATGGCACATGACCTAGCTCCGGTCAACCCAGTTTTCCTGCTGTCTCACTCTGAACCTGCATTGTGAGGGCTTCCATTATGGAGCTAGTAGACTGTACAAGTACATACAGACTTCCAAAGAAGCCCTGATTATGTGATAAATATATTCATGCCATTAGTTATTAATAATGAATTATACGTCTGCTAATGAAAACTTATCAGTAATATCATCAGAACAAAAAAATGTAAAACTAAATGTAAGGATTTTCATAGGACTTTATGGTTTTCAATATGATTTCAGGTACCTTTATCTGACCTGATCCCATTGCTCAGAGTAGTTACGTGACTTGCTGAGGTCACACAGCTTGAATCTAGACCTAACTTCCATTCCTTGCTCTTTCCACCATACAATATGAACACTGATAACTTTAAAACAATGATAATACAATGAAGACATTAAAATGAAATAAATAGAAAACACAAAAACTGTAAATTCAGAAAAATTTCATGATCTAGTTTTAGCCAAGGAAAATAACAGAATAATACAAATTTAGTTTTGTTAATTCTTAACTGAAATGCAAAACACAATTGTATACAAGTTCACTTTTGTAAATACCAAACCTCTTTCTTTATATGCTTCCATAAATGTATACATGAGTGAGCTGAGAATGGAAGAATGTGCTCCAGAATGTTTACAGTGACTCTGGGGTGTGGAATTGTGGGCAATTTTATTTATGTGTTTAGGAGGAGGAATATAAACTCATCTTCATTTTCTAAAGTTTCTATAATAAATGCCTTACCTATATACTTTTTAAAAACGATTTTTATCAGTTATTATTCAAAAGTATAGTTATTCTGATATTCTACCTTAGGACAGGGACAGCCAACTTACTATCTAACACAATGGACATATATTTTGAATATCCAGCCACCATTTGGTGAGCAAGCACCTTCCTGGTGTTTTACATTACTTCATTTAATTTTCACAACAATTTCATTGGGTAGGTATTATTATCCCCATGTCACAGGTAAGGAGACTGATACTTGCTGGGAGAGGCTAGTTGGCCAAGGTCACACAGTAGTTAATGGAGTCCTGATTGTGAGGAGTTCAGAAATCCACCTTCTCCTTCTGGGCAGAAACATCCCAAGTACCTATATCTATCCCCAGATAGCCTCTCTATTGGAGAATTGATCTATTACACGCTGGGGCAGACTCTGTGATACTCTCCTTTAAAAACACATTTGAAGCATTAAAATAAAGTGTAAAAGTATTTATATGTATCATAAAAAGTCTGGAAGGATATGCTCCAAACACTACATATTGCCAGGTAATGGAATTGATAGTGATGGAACTTTTATTTTCTGTTGTCTAAGCTTTTATACTCATTCTTTTTTAGAAAAATTTAATTAAATCTATTTTTGGTGGATGACCTGTATGGGGTCCATGTTTTTTTTTGTTTTGTTTTGTTTTTTTTTAAAGATGACTGGTAAGGGGATCTTAACCCTTGACTTGGTGTTGTCAGCACCACACTCTCCCTAGTGAGCCAACCGGCCATCCCTATATAGAGAACTGAACCTGTGGCCTTGGTGTTATCAGCACCGCACTCTCCCAAGTGAGCCACGGGCCAGCCCCGCTTTTTGTTGTTTTAAAACAAATTTTTATAATAGTTAAAAAAGATGAGTGTCAGAAAAAAGTATATATAGGTTTTTCCTATGTCATATATCTTTTAAACTTTGGTACATCTCAGTATCAGATTCACCACACAAATCATTTCTATAAGTGTACAAAACAAAGAGGTGTACTTCATTACCAACCCTCAAGGTCTCTACCTGTTTCATTGATAAACTGTATCTTCAGTGCTAATACAACATCTGGCACAATGAAAGCATTTCACACAGAACTGGCAAATGAGTGTGTAAAAAATTTATACTTTTTTCCAGTTTTAGATATACTGACATATCCTCATATTAAGTTTCAAATTGGAATACGTGTTAAAGTCAGACAGAAGAAAGAAAATGTACAGGGAAATATTTTTACTTCTGAATTTCACAACTTGCCAAAGGTGACTTTTATGGATTGAACTGTGTCCCCTCCAAAACGTACGCTGAAATCCTAACCTCTGGTACCTCAAAATGTGACCTTATTTGGAAATAAATGCCTTGCAGACATAACTAGTTAAAATGAGGTCATACTGGAGAGGGTGGGCCCCTAATCCAGTATGACTAGTGTCCTTATAAGAAGGCCAAGAAGACACAGCGAGAAGGTCATTCTGAGGATGGAGGATTAGAGAGATGCATCTACAAGCCAAGGAACGTCAATGATTGCCAGCAATCCACCAGAAGCTAGAAGAGACAAGGAAGGATTCTCAAAAAGGTTTTAGAGACAGCATGGCCCTGCTGAGACCTTGATTTCAGACTTCTAGTCTGCAGAAGTATAAGACAATAGTTTTCCGTTGTTTTAAGCTACTCAGTTTGTGGTACTTTGTTATGGAAGCCTTATAAAAACCAGGCAGCCTTGACTGTGAATTCTTGTTAAAAAAGGGGGAAGGGGAAATAGTGAGTCACCTGAACATCAAGATCTACAGGCTTTCAATGACTATCCAGTTTCTTTTCTTTTACTTTTTTTCCCCAGTTTATTTTCTTTAAGCAAAAATATTTTCAAAACATATCCGGTGAACACAGGAACGTTAGAAAAGCAAACATTAAAGGGAATACACAAAACAATAGGTAACTGAAATTTTAATACACCCAAGTATTGCCATAAAAATTTTAAAATCAATGTTACAGCATTGGTTTTCAAAGATCAACGCTTGTAATTGTAGTAAAATAAAGTTTCACAAAGTTAAATTTCCTTAACATTTTATTTCTATATTAATCTAACACTTTACAATCTACCAAAATGGTAAAATTTTACATTTTTTTTTAAAAGCATTGGTGCTCTTCTTAAGTGAAATGTTAACATGGGGCCCCAATATATAAAACAGAAAGTAAAGTTGTTCCAGTTGGGGGCTCCCATAAGGAGCCTCACACTTCCCCAGGCGTTACCTCTTCAGACACAGCACAGCCCTAAGCACAGTCTGGGAACCATAGAATTAAAATATCAACAATAAACACTAATAAAGATCTTATTGACAAAGAAAAGCTAGGAAGTTCTTTCAGTGACCAACAGTTTCTAGGCTTCTGATTTTCTGCATACTTTTCTTTGATTTCATCACTTTAGAAAATGCTTTGAACATTAAGGTTTTAATGGCAGCTATACTCGTATTAGGCAGAAACTGTAATTCTACTCCAGGAAATTATCTACAAGATAGACACTGCTGAACAGGATGTAATAATGATTATTTTTTTTAAAAAAATTTTTAAGGCAGTCCATTGCTCATACTAACAAAAATAAAACATTTCTTATAAATAAAGCCCCAAAGTCAAGATAATTCTTGAAAAGATGAAACATCCCAATAAATCAAAGGGAGATTCCAAGTAAGTGTAACCTCATCGGGCCTTAAGATGGATGTCCAAAGGGGAGAGAAAAGGCAACATCATACAATCCTTCTATTTGATGTATACAGGACAGGCTGGGCTGTTGGGGAGATGGAGAGATGTGCACAGTGATACTCTAATATTAAAGACAGGGAGGCTGTGTGCAGCCCCAGAGGGTCACAGAACCACAGGGAAGCGTCTACCTAACGCTACATGTGGAAAAAGCTAACAGCACCAAAAAGAAAGGCATGAGACACACGGCCTTTTGGTGAACTGGGTTGGGTTTGCTCATTAAGGACCTTTTCACGAACATTTCTATAGATTTCACAAAGACTAATATAGTTCCTATAATGTGCCAGGTTCTCTTCTAAGCGTTTTACAAATATTAACTCATTTAATCATCATAACAACCCTATGAAGTATGTATGATTATTTTACAGAAGAGGAAACAGGCATAGGGAGATTAAGCATCTTGCCCAAGATCACAAAGCTTGAAAATGCTGATCTGGAACTCAAACCCCTTTTAAGGGAAGAAATGACATCTTTGAAAAGGTGTCACCCACTTTCCCTTAGGAAGTATCCTTTAGGAATCCATTAGGAATTTCCTTAGGGAGAGAAATTTGTCTTAGAAAAATCCTAGGAGTCTGCCTAAGTAAAAAAGGAAAAAGCAGCACCAGAACTGATAGTCCACTAGCTCATCATGCCGCAAAGACAGGATCTCTAAAATAACAACACATTTTAATGAGACAGATGGATATGAAATTGTGCAAAGATAAATACAGGATTTCTTCCATTCTTAGAAAAGGTAAATTTGAATTAGTTTTGAAATGTCTGAGCAAAATCATACTATTTAACATAATGTACTGGTTAAACCAAGTAGAAGCTGATTCAGGAAACACTTGCTTCTCAAACACAGACTAGCATAAAAAAGACAGTAAATAAATAGTAAATTTGCTATAAAAAAGTTGCTATAAAAAAGTGGTTTCAAATAAGGTTTAAGAATAATCTTGTACATCCCAATTCATTACTTTATCATATTCTTGAATTCTTTGCTTTATGTGAGAAAGTTTATTCTTTAAGTAATCACAGCGTTCTTTTTTTTCCAGAAATGTAGGATCCTGTAAAAGAAACATAGCTATTATTCAGCCTCTGGTTTCCTCAGTGAAGAACACAGAAATATACATTATCATCCAGAAAATGATTCTATATAGCACAATTATCTACAGCAGATTTCAAAATCTTCCTAATCAGAATAACAGTTAAGCTCTTTACATTTTTCTAATATTTATTTTTTAGAGCAGTTTTAGGTTTATAGCAAAATTTAGAGGGAAGTACAAAGAGCTGAGGTAACTTTAAGCATAAAGAAGTAAGTAATAAGTATAGAAAAGATTAATGAAAGGTCTCTCCAGCTTCTACTGATTTTTGAGATTAAATTAAGGATGGAGTTAGAAAGACGTAAAATAAGTTAATCTTTTTGAAGGAAATGTGGGTGAAGAGTTCCATTATCATTGCTCATTTCTCTAGGTTGCTAAATCAAGATACAGCACAATGTATTCAGGACACAGATGACAAGAAGTGGCATCCAACAGCCACCGATTTTCCCTAAAAAGCAGTATCTTAATACAAAAAATAAGTATTTTAGCTAAAAGGATCAGAAGCCTGTCAATTATCACAAGTGTACCTGGATAAGAATATATACTTTGCAGAGGAAAATTGTTTAACTCACATTCTTTTTTTTCTTAAACTCTTCATGGATTCTTGAAATTCTCTCATGTTCCTAAAAATAAGATATTGTATACTTGAGTTAAAACACTTGTATTTATTCCAATCATGTCTCAAAGCACACTGGAACTTAGGATAGAAAACTATTTTTACTTACAACTATAATGAAAATATTCATACATGAAAATTCTATTCACTGGACAAATATTTGAAGGCTTACTATCTGCAGGCACTGGGATCCAGGAGTGAATGAGAGAGAAAGGTCCCTGCCCTCAGGAAACCAGACCCGAGTCCCAGTACTATCATTTGCCAGCTGTGTGACTGTGGACAAGCTATTTACCCTCCCTAAGACTCAGTTTCCTAATTGGTAAAATGGAAATAATAACCATAACAACCTCAAAGGGTTGTGAGAAGGTTCACTTATTTGAAATTATTCTTATAAAGTACTTGGCACATAACCACATCATTAGCTGCTATTATAATTTTCATCTGCTTTGGAAAGTTCTTTTTCAAGTTAAATGTTGGGATTATGAGACTGAGACTATCCAATCTTTGCAAATAGCTAATATAAGGTTCCTTTTAACTTTACTCTTTTTTTTTTTCCTTTTTGTCTCTTTTTTTGTGACTGGCAACGGATCGCAACCCTCAGTGTCGTGCCCGTACCGGACCGGGACCGGCAACGGGATCGCAACCCTCGGTGTTGCCCCCGCACCTCGCTCAGCCTGTGAGCGGCCGGTCTGTATGTGGGATCCAAACCCTCGGCGGGAGCGCCACTGCACTTCCCAAGCGGTGCACTGTAGCAGTGCGCCACTGGGCCGGCCCCCTTTTAACTTTATTCTAAGTTTCATAATACATATGAACTCTGTTAAGGGGTTGAACAGTCTATCCAAAAGGAAAGGATTATTAGAGCAATGTCCTTATTTATCCATGCAAACCTATGCACAGAAATTGCCAGATGCTGCAAACCTAATAAAGAAAAAATAAAACGTAATAATTTACAGTGTTAAAAGCTTCCCTGAGAACATTTTCCATCACTTACCCACATCCTGTTCCCAATATATTTTAACTCTTCAATATTCTTTTACACACTAAGATCATGAGTATTGTTTGTGGTTTTTTTTTTTTTTTTTTTGGCGGCTAGCTGGTACGGGGATCTGAACCTTTGACCTCGGTCATTTGTTTTTTGATTGCCTGCCAACAGTAAAGATGAAACTGTAATTCAGTTGTAATCTATAATAACAGGTCTTGGAGCAGGAATAAACTAGCTGCTGGGGTTAGGGGTGCTGTGCTGGAGATGCGTGCAGACAAGAGCTGTAAAACTCATTCTGGAATCTGTCGCAGTAACTGAATTTAAGACGGGTGAAGACCAGAGGTATTATTTGGGGCAATACTCCTATTTTAAGGGCTCAGAAAAGCCATGTGATTGTTTTCTTTTTTTTGTGGCTGGCCAGTACAGGGATCAAACCCTGGACCTTGGTGTTATCAGCACTGTGCTCTAACCAACTGAGCTAACTGGGCCAGCACTGATTGTTTTATTTTTCAAGGGTGCACAGCCAGATTTGGGAGAGAACCTGTGCCTCTAAACAGGATGGACTTTGAAATGTGTCACAAGCTTCCCTGGGGATGTGGTGGGAAAATGCATGAGCCCTGCAGATCCTGCCCAGGGCAAAGCTCAGCCTGTGGCTGATGAGAAGTTAACTTTTGTGATACAATTAATATTGCTACTTTAGATAAGGACTGGAGGAGACATGGACAATAACTGTGGGCCTGTCATTTTGGTTACTTACTTGCCATGTCATGTTAAAAATCTGAGATAATGACTGTTGTTGATATTACATGGAAACATCTCTCAGCACTACTGTAATCAGGACCCTGCTGCAGATGCATGTGCTGGAGCCCTTGCTCACTCACACGAAGCACACAAACCAAAGACCACCGGGCCTCGGCTCAAACAGTCCATGTCACAGTCTGGGTTTTTAGCATCATTTCTCTCAACTGCCTGCTCCTCCCACCCTGTGCTAATGCAGATTCCTGGGCCTGCTTGTTCCTTCCTGCACTCCTTTGAGGGCCTCTAAACTTGGTCACCTTTCTCATACCTATGGACCTCACTTGTTTTCCAAATGGTACCAACTGACCCTCAACCTTTAATATTTGCTGGATTTCTCCTGCTTCCTGGTACTGATGTCTCTTAGCCAACACCATTCCATCACTCCAGGATTAGGAAAATGTTACTACTGTACACATTTGGCTTAGACAGCTCATAATTATAACTGATTTAAATGTACACTTAAAAGTCTGTGGTCATGGGCTGGCTGGTTAGCTCAGTTGGTTAGAGCGCAGTGTTGATAACACCAAAGTCCAGGGCTCAATGCCTGTACTGGCCAGCTGCCCAAACAAAACAAAACCAAAAATACAAAGCCTGTGGTCAAAACAAAGACGTCCAACTAATATGGGTTCTCAGGGGAAGAATTTACATACACACATGTGAGAGAGAGTGTGTGTGTATGTATTCACAAACATAAATTTGTCTGACATTTATTTTTTAAAAAGCTGTGAGATTTAAAAATTTTAATTATACAAACAATAGATTAGATTACTATATCCTCTTTAGAAAAGACAGAACGCAAATGTTCATAACAGCATTATTTATAATGGCCAACAAGGAGAAATGACCCAAATGTCCATTAACCGATCAATGGATAAACAAAATGTGGTATATCCATGTATTAGAATATTATTCCACCATAAAAAGGAATGAAGTACTGATATCATACTAAAGTACAGATGAACTCAGAAAACATTATGCTAAGTGAAAGACATAAAGGACCATGTATCGTTGCGTTTATATGAAATGTTCAAAATAGGCAAATCCATATAGACGCAATGTAGATCAGTGGTTGTCAGTGGTTGGGGATAAGTGGGAATGGGGAATAACTGCTAATGAGTTCGGGGTTTCTTTTGAGGGTGATGAAAATATCCTGGAATGAGAGAGATGATGGCTGCACAATTTTGTGACTATACTAAAACCCACTGAATTGTACACTTAAAAAAGGTGGATTTAGGGCATGTGAATTATATCTCAGTAAAAACATACAGTTGATAAAAAAATGCTACTGATTATGAGGCATCCCTATTTCAGAGATATAAAAATGTGAAAAATGTGAGGAAAAAGAAAAAAAAACACCAGAGAAAAAGCTAAGTGCCCTATGACTCCCATCTCCACTCCTGCTTTTCCTCTCTGCCATCACCACAGGTATCAGTCTTATGTGGGTGCCCAGGAGCCCATGTTTGCAGCTCTGGAGCTGCTCTCCACCCTCACCCACCGTGCCCTCTGCTCTTTGGGCCTGGGATGGTAACTGCTTGGCTCCGGCTTGGCAGGGGGGATGCACCCTCCCCTCCCCTGTGTGGATAAATCCTCCTCAAATTACCCTCGTTTAAGTGCTCCATCTGTCTTCTTTGGGACCCTGACTGACTCAGTACTCATATGTATCTTAGGCAAATTTACATTTTACTTAAATAAGAAAATAAAATATTGTATACATGTATTGAAATATAACTGTACCCCATAAATGTGTACAATTAATATGTCAATTAAAAAATAAACAAATTCGGGCCGGCCTGTGGCTCACTCGGGAGAGTGCGGTGCTGATAACACCAAGGCCCCGGGTTCAGATCCCTTATAGGGATGGCCGGTTAGCTCACTGGCTGAGCGTGGTGCTGACGACACCAAGTCAAGGGTTAAGATCCCCTTACCGGTCATCTTTAAAAAAAAAAAAAAAAAAAACAAACCCCAAATAACCAAATTTATTTAAAAAAAGAAAAGAAAATACTGTTTAGTAATTAAAGGCAAAAGACATTAAATTATATAATTTGAATTGTAATCTTGACTAGTCACCTTACAGATATCAAATGCTCTCCTAGACATAGACAGCAGAGGTAAATGGTTATGGATTTTTAAAAAGGTAAGATTATTCATCTTCTAAATTTCACTGCTTCTCCTAGGCAGCTGCAGACACTGACCTGTCGGTTTTCCGAACGACATGGCAATCTGCTCATCACAGCGTCCAGCTCATCAAACTTCCTCAAGACGGCTTGAACTTCTGCAGACAGCTCTTTGTACTCTGAAAACTGGTCTTGGAACACAGCTTTATAGCGTTCTCGTTCATCATCCGTGTGAATCACAGGGTATTTTCTGAGGGAAAAATATAAGATATAACTCTATCACTAAAACAAGCCGAATGGGAAATCAACTTATCTTATTCCTCACTGACCATACTGTGCCTTCAATTCAATGTATAACATCTTCGATAACAAACGACCATTCAGATAAATGATTTTAAGCAGAGTATGAATTGAAGATGGACAGGAAAATGAAAAGCCTAAATGGGCCCCCTCCACTTCCACCTTGAAGAATTCAGACAGATACTCACGCCACGTAGTCAGGCATCACGATAGGTTTAGGAATGTGGCCTGGGGGGATGTGTCCACTCAGTAGTTCAGGTTTCATTTTTATTGTTCTCAATTCTTTGAAATTAACTTCTGAGTCTCTTTGTCTGTCACCACCAGAGGCCATTTCACACTGAAGTTAGGGAGCAAAAAGAGCATTTATTTATAAATAGAGGCAGGAAAAAAACACCAAATCCCAAAATGATTCCTAGAAGAAAATGGGGAGGAGGGTAGGAAGAAAAGTGTGAACGGTAATTAACACTGCACTTCAGAATTACATGTTTTATAGTCACAAAGTCATCCTGAATGTTTTCGTAAGAGCTAGAGGGAATCACATTTGAGATATGGGAGGTACATAGTAGGTAAAATACCCTCCAACCCAATTGTGTATATGTTAAAGGTGAATGAAGAAATGAGAAATGCAGGGTTTTAAGTATGTACTTATTTAGAATTTATACCCCAACAAACAGTGAAAGAATAAAAAAGGTAGTTCAAAGTAAGAAATTCAGGGATAAAAATGGAACAAGACTATGTGAAAAGAGAAAAAAACGCTGATATTGAGACCTTGAGATGAATTAGTTATAAGCAGCCACTGGGTAGGTCAGAAAGGGAAATGAGTTACATTGTTTTTGTGATCTGAAAAGGGAAGCAAGCAAATATACCTTCAGAAGAAACCCTCCCTGATCTTCAGTATTTTTAAATGTAAGGAGGATGTCGCTGGGAAGGCAGAGGAAAGGCAGTGTCTTTAACCTACCCAAGTGTCCTTTACCTCTGATTCTCTGAAAAGGCGATGAGAATCCTGAATGTGGAAGATGGTAGTTTAAGTCACCCTGATCCCTCAACCAGAGCACTTAGAGGCGTTTTTTAGTATTAAAAAAAAAAATGCATTCAAAAGAGAAAGAGAACACAAGATGAAATGGCTCAGACAAGAAGTATCAGGGGACAGGCTTTAAGAGCTAGAATAGCTGACAGAGAGAAGTAATTGGAAGACCCAGCAGAATCCACTTTAGAAAGGACAAGCAAAGATGGATGCTTAGCTTTGGGGCTGGGAAAAGGCTGTTCAGGGACTCTGCTGGACAGGGCCCAGGACACTGACCAAGTTGCTGAGGCAAGTAGTTGCCAAAAGAGGTGTTTCCATTTTATACATAAAGAAGTGAGGTTCAGAGGTGTTAAGTAAATTCTCCAAGGTCACACAGCTACTAAGTGGGAAAGCCACACTTAAAACCCAGAACTGTTTGGTTCATTGATACTTTAAATGAGGAAACATGTTTACGTAAACGAGTATCGTTCATATCCTAAGGTTCCCTGAAGTGCTAGTAGCACACTAGCAATGAGTTTGTGATGGACAGGGCAGGCAATGCCTACGCCTAGAGGGAAGTGAGATCGTGCTTGGGAGCATGATTCCTCTTTGGAACAGTAACTTCCCTCCACTCTACTGACCTGTTAAGCCTTCAAGAAAATGCTTGGGAGGGTCCCCTACCTCTTTGCAAATAAAATACAAAACAGGATTTAAAACTATGTTCTTTATCTTGCCAGGCAGCTTTTTAAACCCTTTGTTTCCTGATTTCCCTACCTCTGAGACTGGCTTTGAGGTTTGGTTTAACATTAGCTCATTCTAAAAACCACCAGCTCTTAACTCACCAAACAGCACACCCCCATGGACTGGATTAGACAATGTGGAGGCTGCTCACCAGCCCTAGGGGAAGGTTATGAAAAGGAGAAGCTCTGCACCCAAGGCGCTAGGTGGAAGGGAAACCAGATCACCCAGATGCAGATAGCATGCCTTGTCACTGGGCCCGAAAAGCAGCAAAACGTGAGTAGGGGGCAGAACACCCTAAGGAAACGAGATTAAGCAAGAGTATTTTAGGGAATACATTTTTTTCTCCCCAAAAGATGACTGGTAAGGGGATCTTAACCCTTGACTTGGTGTTGTCAGCACAATGCTCTCCCAAGTGAGCAAACCAGCCATCCCTATATAGGGATCTGAACCCATGGCCTTGGTGTTATCAGCACCACAGTCTCCCAAGTGAGCCACCGGCTGGCCCTTAGGAAATACATTTTGAGGTTAGTAATTATTCTGCTGTGTTCTCTGCGAGTTAGGATGCCATTTCTTCATCTTAATGAATTCTTGTATGTTTAATCTTGAAAATGAACCCTGGTATTACACACTGGGGAAACTTTTCTGGCTTGGATAAATGGATTTCTTTTTCATGGTATCTTTCTTTAGCTTCTAAATAATTAACAATCCAGTTCTCCCAAGGGCTGGCTAAGGAAGCTGCTATGGAGCATATGTTGGCCCTTCAGATCTCAACAGCAGGCCCAGCCACCAATCTCAGATTTCCTGGTCAAAGTCATGATTTCTGCCCAGGTAGCCCCATTGGGCAGGAGAATCCATAATTAATTTTTTTCTAGGTAAAGTTTTTTTCAAGCAGGAACTACCCATTTTCCTTACTTGCCCATTCTTAATTCCACAATTTACCTTTTAATATGAAAAGGGAATTTTAAGAAATCATAATATTTACATACAGACTATTTCATCTATTTAAATTATGTTTTTATGGTCTTAACATTTTCTTCTGATCTTTTTGGATAAACCTCACTGATCATCACTTTGGGAAACGGATAAACCTCACTGATCATCACTTTGGGAAACTCTATTGTGCTGAAATCTAAAACTAGACATGAGACAAAGAATTAAAACCTGTTTAGGCTTTCATGGGAAAGATGCGCTAGGCTCCAGCCCTGAGATAGGCCACCCTTAAACAGTGCTTCTGATTGTAAACAAATCAAAGTGGGAGAGGAAAAAGGCCCAAAGCCTCAGATTTAATATGACCTTTCTTTGCTTCTAGCAAAAACTAGTGTTGTCAGCAGATATCAGAAATGCTTTATTGTGATACAAGATGCTATGGTTTGAGTGTGCCTCCCAAAAGTTCATGTGTAGGAACCTTAATTCTTCAATGTGGCAGTATAGCGAGGTGTTTGGGTCACGGGTGATCTGCCCTCACAAAGTGATTAACGCAGTTCTCCAGGAATGGGTTAGTTTTTGTGAGAGTGGGTTGTTATAAAGCAAAGCTACCCCACACCCCCTTTTGCTGTCTTTCGTATGCACGTGCTTCCTCTTCCCCTTCTCCACCATGTTATGAAGCAGCACGAGGCCTTCATCAGATGTGGCTGCCTGATCTTGGACTTCCCAGCCTCCAGAACCATAAGCCAAAACAAATCTCTTTTCTTTATAAATTACCAGTCTCAGGTATTCTGTTACAGCAATCGGAAACAAACTAATGCACAAGAGCAAGTAATTAAGCAACAGGATAAGTAATGCTACTGATATAATTATTAAATTTTTCAAATTAAAAATGGGCTGCATGTCTATCCTGTCAAGTTAGAACTGGGGAAGCTGGCTGGTTAGCTCACTTGGTAGAGTGTGGTACTGATAACACCAAGTTAAGGGTTCAGATCCCCTTACCAGCTAGCTGCCAAAAAAAAAAAAAAAAAAAAAAGGAAAAAAAAAAAATGGGGAGAGATTTATCTGTGTTTCAGTGTGCATCTGTCTTATTTCTGATTCTGTCTCCCTTTGAGGAGATAATGTAATGATACACAGGCATCTGATCCCAAACCCATACCATCACCTTCAATACCCAGCTTAAATTTTGACCTTTCTAGCTTGAAAAAGAAAGATTTTCTTTCAGTGCAGCACTTAGGGTTTTATTAGAATATGTTGCTGTCTCTATTTGATCTTATTTCATGTCTATATATTATTTCTTTAAAAAATGATCTTATTTGCTTTTTAAAAATTATATTCATTAAAATACAAAATAAGAAGGGATAATCTAGTATGTAGTCCAAACAAGGGACAAGTAACTGAAGTCCAGACAAGTTAAGTAATTTCCCCAGGGTCACAGAGCTAGTAAGTAGCTAATCTACCCAAATTCAAAATTTGTCTGATCCTAAAGTTCATTTCCTCTTCACCAATGTTATTCCTGACTATTCCAGGACCTCTCAGGGTCTGGGACCCTGCAACATATCCTGGACATGCTAGGCACCAACCTTCTAGGTATCCTGAAGAGGTACCCTAGAACTCTCTAGTAGATCTTCTTAATCCTGTCTCACCTGTGGAGGCTGCTTCAGCTACACTCTCACCAAACAATGACATTGACCATCCTATCATTTGGGGCAACTTCCTCCAACTCATTCTGGCCTTTCCGGTTGACTCTGCTCTGCACTTAATCCCATTGGTAAATCCCACCACCTCTGAGGGACTGATCAAGAAGCCCATAAACTCTACCCTGGGCAAGAGTGACCACCATTGCCACATTCCAGCCCAGTTCGACAGCCCTGTCCAGCCTGGTGCTGAGCAACCAACATCTGCAAACCCCCAAAACACCTTTAACCCCCCAAAGCAAGTAGACTCATGTCTTCACGGACGTTTTGAAACACACCTCCTGATGTCAGCACTCTTCCTAATTCTGATACCAGATTTTGGCATCAACTGTTAACAAGAATGTCAGCTTTCAGAAAATGAATTACCTATGTGTAAGTTTTTAGGCCCCTTTTCCATTATAAACCCACTTTCTAATCCTGATCCACCTTCTAAAGCACAATCCTTTTAACCTAAACATTTTCTATGCACGTAGCATTATTTTAGGACTCTCACTGGGCTGCAATATAGCAATTGCATTTGTTCTTGGCCAGGGTGGAATTTATGAGTTTCCAGGTCAGTCCCTCAGAAGGGGTGGGACTTACCAGTGGGTTAAGGTACTACTGACAATCTTTTTTTTTTTTTTTTTTTACTATTGAAAATCTTGAATGAGAGCATTAGCAATAATTCTGCCAAAGCCAACATCATGAGGACTCCTATTTGGTCAAACTCACTTCTGTTTCTGTACTAACATGGGAAGGACCAGTTAGAGAAGTTGCATTTAAATCTCAAACAAAGGGCCAGTGTTACTAATTATTTAATCATCAGTCTTAGGGCCGGCCCTGTGGCGCACTCGGGAGAGTGCAGCGCTTGGGAGCGCAGCAGCGCTCCCGCCGCGGGTTTGGATCCTATATAAGGATGGCCGGTGTGCTCACTGGCTGAGCGCGGTGCGGGTGACACCACGCCAAGGGTTGCATCCCATTACCGGTAACAAAAAAAAAAAAAAAAATTATCAGTCTTATAGTGCTTATCTTAACATTTTAAACAGGTATTTATTTTATTTAACTTTAATTTTAATTTTGTTAACTGGCCAGTATGGAGATCTGAACCCTTGAACTTGGTGTGGTATTTATTAATTTAATTTTTGCAAAGCTTAAAAATTTTTTTGAACAGGTAATCTATACCCATGGTGTAACAGGTCCAAAAAAGTTTATAATGAAAAGCAAGTTTCCTTCTTCCCCTGTCCCCCCAGATAGCCAGGTGCCCTCCTAAAAGGCAACCACTATTATCCGTTTCAGTATCTAATATGTATATTTGACAGCTTAAAAGTGCGTACATCATTTAACTTTCTCTGACTGTTAGTACCATTGTCATTGAATTAGAACAAGTCTAACTGAAATGTATATCCTGACAGCAATAAATGTCGAATAAATAAATGAACATAAAACTAACTAAAACACAAGGGTATAGGAACCAGAAGTTAAATAAAGCATGATAAAAACCAACCCCCACCACACACATAAACATGTACACAAATAGGACCGCTGTCATTTTATGCTCAATGTTTAAAGTGCATAGCCTTGTAGCATTAGGTCCACACCGCCTCATGAGAGAGAGGTGCTTCAGTATTCTGCAGAGTAGCTAATGCCAGCCTCACTTGTCCTGCACCTGGTCAGTCCAGACTGGTCAAGTGTCTCTTGATTTCTAAAGATTTAAGGATATCCAGAAAAATCCCAGTAAAGCTGTTGAGCCATCTTAACTATATAATTCAGATAACTCTATACATGTCAAAAGTAATTTAATACAACTGACCCTTTAAAAAAGGTGGCTAATTTTAGGTCCCAAAGGATGCTTTGACCAATCAGCAGTGTCAAATGTGAGACAATATCATCTATAAACTACTTTCCCCTGGAGATGTCAGAAAAATACCCATCTCTAAGCAAGTTATCTAGTTTAATTCTATAGTCCTTGATGATCTCTCTCTCTCATATACATACACACGTACACACATCACACTCTGCTAGTCTTTTGTCTGTTTTTCTTTTCCACTAGATTTGTTAGCCCTTGGAAAATGGAGATGATGCTCCCTGTAATATTGATATCTCTAGTCCACAGCCTAATTGGCACGTTTGTTCAATGAATGAATTAATGATGATGCTGATGTATTAAACACAATCCCTTGGACAGACTGTCTACTTCATAATCCCTATTTCAATGTGAATAAAACATTCTCAGGGCTGGCTGGTTAGCTCAGTTGGTTAGAACACCAAGATCATGGGTTTGGATCCCTGAACTGGCCAGCTAAAAACAAAATATTTTCAAAGATTTTTTGTTATAACATGGAGAATAAAGTTAAAAGAAATCTTTTAAAGGGCATTTACAGGGACTGGCCAGTTAGCTCACTTGGTTAGAGTGCAGTGTTACAATACCAAAGTCAAGGGTTTGGATCCCCGTAGCGGCCAGCCGCAAAAAAAAAAAAAAAAAAAAAAAAACTCATTAACAAATAACTTGTACAAATAAGCAACCCAATCAACATATGAAAAATGCAAAGATAACATATGAGAAATGCTCGACCTCATTCCTGATAAGAGAAATGCAAATTTTAATTACACAAGATACCATTTTTCACCAATCAGACTGACAGATGTCAGCATATTTCCTAATACACTGTGTAGGTCAGGATGTTAGGAAGCCTGTAGTGCTATTAGAGTGGAAGTTAGTAAAACCTCCGTTGGGCAATCTGGCAATCAAAATAAAAGTGCAAGGGCCAGCCCGTGGCTCACTTGGGAGAGTGTGGTGCTGATAACACCAAGGCCATGGGTTTGGATCCCTATATAAGGGTTAAGATCCCCTTACCAGTCATCTTTTAAAAAAATAAAAAATAAATAAATAAAAGTGCACATCTTTTTGATTCATAAACTCACTTCTTGGGGGTGGGCAGCAGAATAAAAAGAAACTCATTTCTCAGAATTTATCTGTCAGGTGTACTTATACGTATATATACATATATGGAATGAAGTATGTATGAGTATGTACTTCTATGTACAAGGTTATTCACTGAAGCATTGTTTTTAATAATGAAAAACTGGAAACAACCTAAATGTTCATTTATGGCTAAATAATTATGATATATTCAAATAATGCAATACGGTATAGGTATAAAAAAAGAATGCAAAAGAGCTTTACATATTAATAAGGAAACAACTTAGAAATGTATTGTTAGGGCCGGCCTGGTGGCGCACTCGGTAGAGTGTGGTGCTTGGGAGTGCGGCAGCGCTCCCGCCGAGGGTTCGGATCCCATATAGAGACCAGTCCCCTCACTGGTTGAGCGCGGTGCGGGCGCGACACCGAGGGTTGTGATCCCATTGCCGGTTGTGGTGTGGGCGTGACACTGAGGGTTGCGATCCCGTTACCAGTCACGAAAAAAGACAAAAAGGAAAAAAAAAAGAAAGAAATGCAGTGGTCTCTGCAGAGTAGGGGAGGTGGGAGAAGGAGAGGAAGTTGAGTGTTCCCCGAGCCCACCCTGTTTTTGAAAGTTCCTTTGCAAAAAATCCTGAGACTACTGATTCTGCAAGGTCAAGGACAGTTTTGTGTTCACCTTGCGTCTAGCACCTGGAATAGGGCCTGTCCTCTAGATAGGTCATGAATATTTGCTGAATGGATAGATTTTGGTCAGTTTTCTTCTAAGCCGTCTCTGTCACTCAGATATAAAAATGGGCAGGGGGGCCTTCTGGGGGGTGTGCTTGAAGACCTGAAGGGACATAACTGTGTGTGTGTGTAGCATACTACCATTTGTGTAGAAAAGAGAGTACAGCAAATGTATATATGTAATTAAACACATTTCTGAAAGGAAACACAAGGCACTGATAACTGGTCCCACGAGACAGGGAAGCTGGGGTATAGAAATGAGAGAAGACTCTGTATTACAGACCCTTTGGAATTTTGAACAAAGTGAATATACTCCCTTCTCAAAGAAACAAACAAATCCAAAGGTTAGACTCTCAACTTCTTGCTTAGAAATAATGCCCAGTATCTTAAAAAAGAACTTTTCAATGTGGGTAAAATTATGATTATTACTATATTTTACATTAACTTATTATATACAAATAATTATAATAACAGCATCTCACTGCATCCTCTCAGTAAACTCGTGAGGCAGAAATTATTATTATTCTAATTTTACAGATAAAGAAGTGAAGGCATGAAAAGGTTAAATAACTTGCCTACAGTCACGCAGCTATAGGAATTCCCTGACACTACAAAATTTGCCATTTGAAGGCAAAGTAAGAAGGATAGAAAAGAACAGCAAAAAACTTTAAAGAGAAAGGAAGAAGGTATGGGAGACTCACTTTCATTTAAAAAAAATTATATTTTAAACATAAACCCTTTTTTTGGTGGGGGGACAGGGGGTGGTGCTGGCCAGTATGGGGGCCCCGAACTCTTGACCTTGGTGTTATCAGCACTGTGCTTTAACCAAATGAGTTAAATGGCCAGCCCCAAACATAAGCTTTTTTTTTCTTCTTAAACATAAACTTTTAAGCACAAACTTTCATCTAACAAAATTAAAAGGAGCTAGAAATAGGATTATCTAATTTGGTCCTTTTAGTATTAAAAAAGGTGAAAGTCCTAATATGAACTCAATGTAATAGTTACACTTTCACAGACAAATGATTCTACTATGTAGATAAACAGACATGAAAGAAAAATATTCAACAAATCTAAAGTATAATGTGAAGTAAACTTTATTCTTACCATTTTCCTTTTCGATGGCAATGATGGCTCACTTATCTGGAATAAAAAGAGTTAAAATAATTTGTCAAAGGCATGTGAAGCTACTTCGCAAATATTTTCACCCATTTGTATTTGTAGCCCAACCTCAGTTTTACAGAGCTTCATCTACTTGATGGGTGTTCCTCCTACTCTTTTGCCTAGGTTTTGATGGGTCAGTGGAGAACCAGAGGAGGGATAACTGTAATTCCCTGTCAATCAGGAACATAGAGAGGAGCTGGAAATATGGGATGGTGGAGACTATTAGCTATGTTGCTTTGAATTACCTAGAGATTTTATTTATTTCTGGTTCCCATTACCTTGCATTATTAAAGAGTTTAGGATGGTTACCCTATAAAATTAATAAAAAAAGCCAAAGGCCATTCCATCTTCTAACTTTTAGGAATTTATAGCAACACAGAGTCAGGCACAACCTTCAACATCAGAAGTGACTCAAGTCTAATTAAGCATTATGGAAAGTCTTACAGAAGTGAGTTTTAGTTAAGAAAGAAAAAATTAATGAAAGTATTACATTGAAAATTATAATCATATTCATGTAGAACTGTGAAATGTTAAGATTAAATAACGTTATTAAACTAGCATAAAATTATGAGGTGTGTGAGTTTCATTATCTGGATTTCACACTGATTAAAACTTAACATTTTTTTTTTTTTTTCAAAAGATGACCGGTAAGGGGATCTTAACCCTTGACTTGGTGTTGTCAGCACCACGCTCTCCTAAGTGAGCGAACCAGCCATCCCTATATGGGAGCCGAACCTGTGGCCTTGGTGTTATCAGCACCGCACTCTCCTGAGTGAGCCACAAGGCCAGCCCAAAACTTAACATTCTTTACTATGTACATAGAGATGTAAACTTAAGAAATATGCTTGAAGTGCTGAGATAAATTTTTAGAAATAATTTGAATCTATGTATAGTTCTATCAAGATCAATATATCTTGTGACAATAGAATATGGATCACATTGAAAAATGCTGAATTCCAGGGCCTGACTGTGGCTCACTCGGGAGAGTGTGGTGCTGATAACACCAAGGCCAAGGGTTCGGATCCTATATAGGGATGGCCGGTTAGCTCACTGGGTGAGCGTGGTGCTAACAACACCAAGCCAAGGGTTAAGATCCCCTTACGGTCATCTTTAAAAAAAAAAAAAAAGAAAAAGAAAAATGCTGAATTTCTTTGTATGATGCATAGGTACTTGTTATAAAACTATTTGATCATGCAAAAGAATAAAAACAAAATACACGTCAGTGTGTGCCATTATAAGGACAGGTTTTAATTTTTATTTATAGTTTTGCCCAATATACACTATATATGTGCAATTGTACAGTATCTAAGAAGTCTTGGGAAAAGTAGGAAAGGAAAAATTTATGATATAGTTAAAATTTAAAAAAAATTTAAGGTAAATACTGACATTTTCAGTGGCACAGGAGATTCTAGTACACACGTGTCCTTAGAAGAAAGCAAAACATCAACTTATTTCAGGACACAATGAAACTAGCAGAAAATATCCTAACATTTTTGCTACTGTTCAACTAAAATAATTTTAAATAGGGCTTTTACATAATCTTGCCCTCCAGGTATTATTATGATGATGATTTATTCTCATTATTATTATTATGTTTAATTAGTTAAATCCTAGAAAAAAATATAAGTACTGGGCTTCCATTCTAATTTTGGAACATACATCTCTCCAAAATAAGGATGAAATAGCAAAACCAATGGGCAAGTTTTCACAGACTATGTTCATTACAACTCAACCTCTCAATACTTTAAAGAAAAAAAAAATTAAACAAGGTTTGCCATATTCTTATTTGGCTTTATTTAACTCACCAGAAAAAAGTAAATCATAACATTTAAGTGAGAACTATCCTCCTGTAACTGAAAATGTATGGGTTTTTATTAAGTTTTACTATATTAAAAAATCAAAATTGTCCTCAAACTTACTTTAATGATGAGACACTTAATTTACTGAGTATATTATTATTCTCTGCAGAAATTTAGTAGCTGTATTTTCCTCTTAAGCATCAGACAGACATAATAATGCAACCATCAAACTATATATCACACATCTGGTGATGTTATACAGCAGTGAAGCACCAAAGTGGGTTATCTCAGTCAAAACATATCAGATACTGAGCTAGGACTTTTGAATCTCAAATCATTAAAAAAAAAAAAGACTTCCCTGAAAACTTTCTGTTTTGAGGACTCTACATTTTTAACAAAGGAGCAAGTAACAGAAAAAACAAAAAACAAAAAACAAATGACTGCTTGTGAAATCACTTACCTCCTGTTGTTCCAGAAATTCCCTGTGTCTCCGAGCTGCCTCATGCCTCCATAACTTTAGGCAAACCAAAGCACTAATGAGATAAACTATCATGGTGACAAACAGGAAGATCATTGCTGCTATCTGTCCTCCTTCTACCCGGCAGAACACTGCATTCACTGGCGTATTAAATAATGGATAGTAGCAGAGTCCACCTCGGTTGGTATCATTCACATAGACTATGGCCGCAGCCATATACAAAATAAACAAGGCGACATTAATTCCAAATTCAGTTAGGGGCCACCAGTTAGAATCCAAAAGAATAGTCCGGTAATACATGGACATGCCAAGAACCAGAATAATAATGGTGGTGATCCAAGCTAATCCAGCGACCACAAGTACAAAAGGGGTCTTGGGGCCACTGTAGTAATAGCCCCCATACGTACTGCCCAGGCTGCCTCCCATGCTGTAGGGCTGTGAGTATCCAAACAAGTTATACCACTCATTGTCCTTGTGAATGTAAGCTGTGACACAAGCAAAGACGCCAGCCCCCAAAAGCAGCTCCACCACGCCCAGAATTCTCAGCAGGCCTGCCCATGACTTCATGTAGGAATACCTCAGGTTATACTCCTCCACCTTCTCACTGTATGTTCGAGCAGTTTGTGTGTGTCGGCCTAGAGACCCATAGGGATCTCGGGGAAGCATTGCATCAGCCTCTTTTTGGGAACTAAAGGTTCCTTCTGACCCTCGGTAAGGATCCTTGCAGGAGTCGGGAGGTGAACGGTGATTTGCTGGAGAGGCTGGAGGTGAACACTCCACTCCATCAGAGATGTATCTGATGTCAGAAACTGGCTTATCCCATTCTGGGTCCTTTTTTTTCCCTCTGAAGAAGTTCTTCCAGGAGTCAGGGACAAAGCGCCTTACAGGTTTGAGATCTGGTGCTATGGCTGGTTCCTCTGTGTCACTTGAGTAGAAGTCTGGGCCGAATGGTGGCTGTAATGGGAGAGGGGGTGGTGGCAAAGGATCAGCACTCACGGCCAGCTCACTGTCCTGAAGAGTCTGGAGGGTTCTTATGGTGCCATCTTGATAGGGCAAGTCTCCTGGGACCTTATCATAGTGCCTGTCCTGGTTTTTGGATCTTCCCTCATTTGACGACATTTGTGATTTTCACACCTGTGGCCAAGATTAAAGTTATCACTTATGCTTAGTTATTCATCCTTTCAATAATGCTGATTTTACTCACTTAATAGCAAAAAGTATTCAGGAGACTCACATGATCATGTCTAATTATTAGGATATATAAAAATGATAAAAATAAACATTATATGTATATTTTAAATATATGTAACTATTAGATTATCTGGGGATAGTCATCATTCTATGCCATTTTAAGTGCAATCAAAATTTTAAGCCTTAGCTCTGAATTTTACATATTGAAACATTTGTAAGTCTAATTTATCCATGAGCCCTATAAACAACAAAATGAAAAAAAAAAAAAAACAAAAATGACAAAACTTTAACAATACAGAACACTAACAAACTCCCAAGTAAAGTCCTTTCTTCAAACATCTGAATCAAAATATTTAAGAGTTTCAGCATACCAAAATTTGATGGGTCAGCAAATACTCTTCATTTTCATTAACTCACAGCTGCTATGGAATAGCCAAGGAGAAGCAGTCTTGTTAAAACACAGGGAGTGGAGAGTCCTCCCTTCCTAAATCAAGGAAGTCAGTTTACAGGAATTGCTTCTTCCACTGAAATATTAACACTTGATACTAGATTTTAAAAATTGAATTTTCTGAGATAAAAATCACCAAAGCCTAAGGTTTCCTGCAGGTACAACACAGAACAGCAGTAACAACCATAAATATTCTTTTCAGAGTAGTTTTCTAAAGGTGATTAACTGTTGCCACGGAGAGACAGTATCTTAGAAGGTATTCAACCCACCTCAGAAATAAAGCACCTTTACTAATAGGCCTGTTGATTTCTTTCATGAAACCAATGACCTGGGCACATATGCAAAAGGAAGGAAACAATTTGCTAATGCAATTACTAGGCTTAAGATACATTGAATTTCTCCCTCCAATTGCTTATAAGCAAGTATTTACTGAAGACTTACTGGGCAAATGGTATTGTACTTGAAGACTATCAAGATCTCAAAATTAAAATGGATAACCCCAACTTTATGACACTGAACAATTTGGAAATTCCAAAGGCTTGATTTTACTTTGTAAAATGGAGACCTATCATTCCACCAATATTTGCCAAGCACCTACTTTGCACCAGGCATGCTGAAGGCATATCATTGAACAAGGCAGACTGAAATCCTTGCCTTCATGGGGCTTCAATTCTAGTGAAGGGTGGTAACAGACGATAGAGAAATAAAATATATAATACGCTAAAGAACGAAGTTGAGAAAGGGAATGAAGAGTTACAATTTTAAAAGGAGTGGCCAGGGAAGTCTTCATAACGAACGTGACATCTGAATATAGAACTAAGGTGAAGGAGGAAACCAGGCAGGTATCAAGGAGAAGAGTGTTCCAAGCAGATGGAAGCGCTAGTCTAAAAGTCCAGGCAGGAGTGCCTGGCATGTGCAAGAAATATTAAAGCATGGAGGCCAGTGCAGCAGCAGCAGAGTGAGAAGGTGAGTAGTGGAACTGCAGCCGTCTGAATCATGCAGGGCGCTGAAAACCACTGGAAAGGACTTGAACTTTTACCAAGAGTGAGGTGAGAAGCCATTGGAAGATTCTGAGTAGAATAACATGATCTGACTTGTTTTTAACAGGCTGTGGATGCTGTGTTGGGAGTACACTCCAGAACAAGAAGACTGTTTAGGAAACCTCTGAAGTAATACAATGGACCACAGAGATCGTGAGAAGAAGTCAAATTCTAAGGCCGGCCCGTGGCTCACTCGGGAGAGTGCGGTGAAGGGTTGAGATCCCCTTACCGGTCATCCTTTAAAAAAAAAAAAAAAGAAGTCAAATTCTAAGGCCGGCCCGTGGCTCACTCGGGAGAGTGCGGTGAAGGGTTGAGATCCCCTTACCGGTCATCCTTTAAAAAAAAAAAAAAAGAAGTCAAATTCTAAGGCCGGCCCGTGGCTCACTCGGGAGAGTGCGGTGAAGGGTTGAGATCCCCTTACCGGTCATCCTTTAAAAAAAAAAAAAAAGAAGTCAAATTCTAAGGCCGGCCCGTGGCTCACTCGGGAGAGTGCGGTGAAGGGTTGAGATCCCCTTACCGGTCATCCTTTAAAAAAAAAAAAAAAGAAGTCAAATTCTAAGGCCGGCCCGTGGCTCACTCGGGAGAGTGCGGTGAAGGGTTGAGATCCCCTTACCGGTCATCCTTTAAAAAAAAAAAAAAAGAAGTCAAATTCTAAGGCCGGCCCGTGGCTCACTCGGGAGAGTGCGGTGAAGGGTTGAGATCCCCTTACCGGTCATCCTTTAAAAAAAAAAAAAAAAAAAAAGAAGTCAAATTCTAGATATACGGTATTTAAAAATCTTGTTATAGAAATTTTCAAATACAATAAAAAGTGGAAAGAATAGTATTATGAACCTTTGTGTACCATCAACCAGCTTCAATAATTACCAATTTATAGTCAATCTTGTTTAATCTATACCTCCCATCCTATTCCCTCTGCCAGTAGATTACTTTGAAACAAATCCCAGACATCTGATCATTTTATCTGCTTCATTTCTCCACCCCTCCAGTTTACCCTTAGGGAAGAGCAGGCTGAAGAGTTGCAGACGCCGGTTAGAAATATAGGCAGCAATGTCAAGGAGGCAGTCTGCCCACAGACCGCACGTACTGCTACCAGACTGGATATACTCTCCAAAGGAATGGGGTGGAGATGGAGAAGGGGTCCAAGAAGGAATTCTAGGGTCTCCAGTTTTAGAGGATTGACTGTGATAGCCCCAACATGGTGCCTGATGCAAAGTAGGAGCTCTATAAATGACAGCAATTAGCAGTAATTTTTGTCCCTTTGTCTTTTATCTCTTTGTTGTCCAGAAAAGTTTAAATTCTAGAAATACATAGTACTACTACAGTTTTTGAAATATGTACAGTTCCTGAGAAATGTCGAAGCAAAAACACAATAAATATTTCAGCAAGTTTTAAATAATACCTCTCAATATGTAAAATATATATGCCTTTACAGGATACTCCACTGGTTAATTTAACTCACTGGTAAAAGTGTGATTCACTGTAATGGATTTAACTCATCTTCACCTGAGAAAAGTGGCTTCTTTGAATCAGACCACTTTAGCAGTGTTTAAGTAAAAAGCAAAAAATTATAAATGTGAACAATTGTGGAAGAACAAAATATGTGATTTTAGAAGGGAATGGTCAGCTCTATTTGATCACATCTTGAATATCTGATACCCCTAAAGTTTTTCAGGATGTCACTGAGAGTCCACTCAGGTCCAGCATGCTGAGACAGAGTGGGTTTGTTTTGTTCAGGTCCGGGTCTCTGACTCCACTCTGTAGGAACACCTATCTCGGAGAGCCACAGCGGTGGCAAGAAGAAATGGCTCCCTCCAGCAAAGTGTCGCAGGAATCATGCCTGGTCACCTTTATACAAACAAAATCACCGCTTTAGCTGACTTTCAAGTTTTGCCGGGCCCAAGAAAGGGGTAGATTTGAGGTATTTCTGGGCTCCCAAGAGGTAGGGAAAGCCTCTGCGGGTTTTAGCTAACCCACCACTGCCAGGGGATACCGAGCATCTTAGCTGGGGTCTCCCCGAGTCAACCTCTGGGCGTCCGGTCCTACAAATCCCGTCTGTCCCGACTCGCTCACCGGAATGTGGTCGGTTTTCGCGTTTCTGATTGAAAACCCACAGTCTTTCGAGATTCCGCCCTAAAGTGGCCAGAACTAAGTCGGGCCAGACGTCCCAGGTAGGAATAACCGGGATCGCAGCAAGGGTGCGGGTCCCGCCCCGCGCCCGGAAGGCGGCGGCTTGGCCGCACCTGTGTCCGCTGAGTGAAACCCGGCGGGTCCCGCCCGCCTGTCGCGGTCCTTGGCAGGTTATGGCGGGGCCGAGCGGCGAGCGCCAGCGGGCCGAGAAGTTCCGAGGGGCCGGAGAGGCGCCCCTCCACCTTCCCCGCTCCGGCTCCCGCTCCGCGCACCAGGGCCGGGGGCTGCGGGGCCCTCCCAGCCCGCGTCGCGGTCCTGTGGCCCCACCCCCGGCCCCACTCACCTGAGCAGCCACAGGGAAGAGCACGCGCGCCGCCCCGGGCACTGAAACCAGATCGGGCTCCCGGGGCGGGGCCGGGGAGGCCGAGCACAGCTTTGCCCCGCCCGGCTTTGTCAGGTCCAACTCCCTCCAGGCGCTGGCGCTGCTCCGTGCCCCTCCAACAGTGCCCCCCAACCCGCGCCTCGCAGCAATGGTTACACAGTGGGCTCCTGCAGAGAACGACCTATCCCTCCCTTCCCTGTCTTTGGAAAAGTTCGACCCTGGATGGAGACTCATGTAGTATGCCTAATGATACGTGGCAGACAGTGCATATTAGGCAATGTGAAAAGATAGAACAAAATGAAATTTAACATTTTAATTTTGACATAAATTATGTAAATACTTTCCAAAGTATCTAAAATATTCCATTGTACAACACATAAAAACGGCATCTGAGACGACAGAGAAACTGTAAATAAGGCACAAAGTTTATTCACATTCATATTTGCATCCTAAACTGTTTTATAATTGATATTTACAACCCCCATAAAGTTTTTGTGTTCTGGATTATTCCTTCACAGTTTCTGATATCTGGCATAATGTTCAAACACACCTCACTCACTGACCTCTGCCTAAACCACTCCATAAAATTAAATAAATACTAGAGAAAAAATTATAGATTTTTTGAAGGCTTGATCTTCTATTTACTTCAAGATAACAGAAGTCAGTTACTTGTGATGAAATAACATAATAATGAAGAACTAACAAACTGTAATTCACCAGAAAAGTATACTAACTCTTTTCAAGTACCACTGCATAAAACTGACATAAGTCAGTTACTTGTGATGAAATAACATAATAATGAAGAATTAACAAACTGTAATTCACCAGAAAAGTATACTAACTCTTTTCAAGTACCACTGCATAAAACTAAAATCAATCTATCAGTAGCAGTCTGATGGGCAGGCTGGTTTCTATGTCCCATCACTCTCATAGTCTTCTATTATCATGTCTTCTTCTTCCATGTTTCCTCGGGATGAAAAGGGCTGAGGCTGGCTGGCGGGCAGTTCATTCCCACTGTTCTGACTCAAAGGAAGAGACCAGGTTTCAGGTTCAATGGTTTGACTGGGCTCATCTACAGCTTCCTCTGCAGGCAGTCCTCCATTATGCTGGGCTTCATCTCCGCTGTCAGGGTCTATCATTCCATGCTCCCTGTCAGTCAGGGCTTCCATTTTCAATCTGTCAGATTCACAGTGCAGGCATCAATAATAACCAAAGAATTAAATTATACCATGAGTGTGATGACTATGAAGCCATGTCCTCTAGCCTTTCATTTACCTTCACTGTGCTCACTGTTCAGTCAGTCCCTTTAGTTTAAACTATATAAATAAAACTAAAAGGTAAATGGCAAACTGTGAATACATCCTTACCACTTACAATATAAAAATGGTTAATTAATGTCTTCAGTAAAGAGTTCTCACAAAATAAAAACAAATTAAAGAAATTATAGAAAAATGGGCACAAAACATGAACAAGTTACAAAAGAAATATAAATGGTTACTAATCATTCAACATAATTTGTAACTTAAAAAGTGGAAATAAAATAAAAAGCTATTACAGTCATCTTCTAAACTGTCAAAAATACTTTTAAAATGACAAAATCCAGTGGTGGCATCGATTAGGAGGAAACAACATACTGATACACTGTGAGTATAAAATTGGTAAAATATTTTTGCAAGCAATTTGGCAATACAGAGCAAGAGCCTCAAAAAGGTGTATACCTATTGATCCAGGAATTTCATTTCTCAGAATTCATCCTAAGTAAATAGTATTTGATGTGCATGATGATTTATTTTCAAGGCTGCTTGTCAGGAAAGCTAAAAAGGGGTTTCTAGACTTGCAAAATCTGTTAACTAGAGTACTTTAAAGATTCCTCTGCCTTTGCAATTCTGATTCTATTTAGTCTGATATATTTCATAGGGAGTGGGTGAAAATATGCTGTTATATTTAATAAAATGAAGGGTCTACAATAAAATTATATGGTTTTTAATCACTGAATACAATACCTTTTTCTTGGGTTTTACAGAAAACATTTACTAATTATATACTGCACATATTCAGTGGACATTTCAGCAACAGCTGTTTGGGAATTAAGACGATCAGCTTACCTTCCAAAGTGTCGCTTCAGAGGAAGTCTTCCAATATCTTGGATAAAAGAAATCTGAGCTGAAAACAGATAAAAAAAGTTTTAAATAGGCAATTCTCCAGAGAAAACATACAAATGGCCAGTAGCACATGAAAAGATGCTGAACATCTAATAATCTTTAGGGAAACACAAAATCAAAGCCACAATGAGATATCACTTCACACCTATTAGTATGGCTATTATCAAAAAACAGATAACAAGTGACAAGGATGTGGCAAAACTGGAACCCTTGTGCGTTGCTGGTAGTAATGTAAAACGGTATAGCTGCTATGGGAAATAGTATGATGGGTCCTCAAAAAATTAAAAGTAGAATTATTATATGATTCAGCAATTCCACTTCTGGGTATCTACTCAAAAGAACTGAAAGCAGAATCTCAAGAGATATTTCCCTGTTCATAGCAGCATTATTCACAATAGTCAAAAGATGCAAGTAACCCAAGTGTCCCTCGACAGATGAATGGATAACCAAAATGTGGTATGTACATACAATGGAATATTATTCAACCTTAAATATGAAGGTAATTCTGATGTATGCTACAATATGGATAAACCTTGATGCTATTATGCTAAATAAAATAAGCCAGTCACAAAAGGACAAATATTATATGATTCCACTTATATGAAATACCTAGAGTAGTAAAATTCATAGAGACAGAAAGTAGAATAGTGGTTGCCAGGGACTGGGGAGAGAGGGAAGTGGAGAGTTGTTTAATGGTTATAGAATTTCAGTTTTGGGCCGGCCTGTGGCTCACTCGGGAGAGTGCGGTGCTGATAACACCAAGGCCACGGGTTCGGATCCCATATAGGGATGGCCGGTTGCTCACTGGGTGGGCGTGGTGCTGAC